TTAGTCACATCTTAGAACACTTAGAATCTTAATTTAGGCTAATTTTTAAATTTGTTGAATATTAAAAATGATTAGGTCTTAAATGTAACGCCCGTAGATCCGGGCTAGTCAATTTAGAGATAATAGGGGTCGAAAATGACTTTTTGACAAAATATTATTTAGAATAAATAATTTGAACCAAGTTGTAGTATATGTCACAAGATTTCCGTACATATAAATAACGCCGAAATCCGAGTTATAACAAAGAAGTTATGACCCGTCGAAGTTTCGCGACGGAACCGGCACGGCACCGGGAAGCGTAAAAAGTGAATTTACAACAGAGCGATATTTAGCCTTAGTGATCTAAACAAAAGTCATAGAATATGTTAAACCGAGAAAATCCATAAAATGAAAGCCCAAATCTGACTTTGTATGAAGAAGTTATGATTTTTCTAAGATTCGGTTTAGCAGTGTACAGCCCGAAACTCGAATTTTAGTTCGAGCGGTTTTTGGCTTATGCGACCTAAATGAGAGTTGAAGATCTCATTAATAGGAACTCAATGGTAAAAAGACAGACAAAAACAGAGTCCGTATGAAGGAGTTACAGATTCTTCGCTGTCATTTAACAGTCTAAACGCCTCGTACTGTTAAATTTAAGATCGGTCGAGAATTAGCCGACGGAGTCAAAATGAAAGTTGTAGATATTATTTTTACCTACGCGTGGATATAAAGAACGTCAAAAACGGAGGTCGTATGTGAAAGTTACGAATTTTAGAAGTCGGAAGTGTGCTGTGCCAAAATGGTTGATGTGGCACAATCTTGGCCATTGCTTTCTCCCCAAGTATTGCCACTAGATGGTGACATGTGGCACCAACTTCAGCCATTTTCACCCTATAAATACCACCTCTCCCCCCCTCATTTTCTTCACACCTTTCCCATTCTTTCTTCTCTTTACTCTCTCTCTAAAACCTCTCTCTAGCCTCGAAATCCCCCGAAAAGCCTAGGGAACCTCCCTAGCACGAGGCGGAAGCCCCGGAGTGCTCGACGGCTCCGAGAAGAAGAGATTTCCGGCTCGGAAACGCTGCTCCAAGCAAAGCCTGGTTTTCTATAAAACCCGCTGTAAGTGAGCTACGCCTACGCTATTTTTAATATAGTTTTTATTTAATTATATTAACGTTATTAAGAACATATAATAAATACTTGGGCTATTATTATGGGTTATATAATTTTTTTAACGCTTATATAATAGTAATAATAGCTAGACTATTAATTAGTCTCGGCGAATAATAGACTAAAATCTATTGGTGATAATACTAGGTTTCGTCGAAGGAAATTATTTTAAAGTAAATGAAGCGCTGTCCGAATACCGAGTCACCACCTTCTCAGGTGAGTGCATGGTCCCTTTCATCTTACACATAGATATGAAGTATTTATTATATAATTTACGTGTTGTGAGTGCATAGTTCCCTTTCATCTTACACATAGATATGAAGTCTTTTAATATAAATTACGTGCTGTGTGTGCATATTGTCTGAATACTTGCTGTCTATGCTGGGTGAAAGATTTTTATACATGTTTTAAATGATTTAAATTGTATACGTATTTTATATCTACAAAACGTGTTGGGAAAAACACGGGTAGATGAAATAGTTGTTTTGTGATCACACGATGGGAGACATCAGTGTTGTCAGCGATCCAGTCATCTAGTGGAGTATAGATGACGACTATTGACGATACTAGACGGTCCAGTGGAACGATAGCAGGTTCGTAACATGTAGGTATTTTTGAACTAGGTGCTCATTAGGTATTTTTGAACTGAGTGTGTTCACTACGTATCTTTGAACTGAGTGTGTTCACTAGGTATTTTGAACTAAGTGTGTTCACTAGTTACTTTTGAACTAAGTGTTTACCAGATGTTTCGGACTACGTGTTCACCAGATATATTCTATAAGTCTTGGTAATGATGGACTTCGTGTCGATTCCTTATGATGATCCTTAGGAATAAATAAACGAGGAATAGCTGATTCTTAGGGTAGATCCTTAAGACTAAAGAAGATAATGGGGATGGGTAATTAGGTTGATTGTTTGATTGTTTAAACATAATAATTATATTATTGTGGGTTGAAAACCCTATGTACTCACCAGGTTTCCCAACCTGACCCACTCAGTTTATTTATATCACAGGTGTTGATATGAAGTCACTTTACACTGAGAGATTTAAAGAGATGTAGATCACTAGTGTAAATAAATGTAAGTTCTGTTTATGCTCATGTTCCTGTATTGACGATGACATCCCAAACGTTTTAAAATGATTAAAGTACATTTCTTCGGAAATATTTTAATAACGTATTTATCATGTTTTTCTGGGAACAAATTCCGCAACATTTTTATTAAAAGAAGAACTCTGATTTTTATAAAGCATAAACAAAATCGGTCTTTTCTGGCCGTGAAAATAGGGATGTCACATTAAATTAGAAAATTTTGGTAAAAAAAAAAATTAGGATTCCATATTAGAATTGTGTTAATAATTGCATGAGAACCCAAATGTTTAGTTGAGCCTATACACGTTCTAGTGCATTTGTGGCTTCCTTATTTCAGTGAAATCATGAGACAAAAACACGACCTTGCTCAGCCTGAGGGATGCAATATGTTTAGCAGCCTAAACCTGAAATGTATCCAGGAAAATTTTTATCATTAGCCAATAAAGGTTGAGATTGAGCGCCCCTGCTTAAGCATGTAGGGATTTGAGTGAAAGAAAAAAAAGAAGTGAGGTATACATGTAAAAAAAAAAGAGAAAATTACAAGAAAAATTGTAAGAATTTTGGAGCAAATGAAGTAAAGATCTGAAGATCAAAATTCCAAGAAATCCAAAGAGTTGAAGATACCAAAAAATCAAACAACAAAGGTGGTGAATTCAAAGATATCCAAGATCAAATTATCAAGAAGTGAAGAATTCCAAAGAGCTCCATAATGGTATCATAAATTGTAATTTTCTAGATTATGTATGCTTGGGTTGCTCAATTAAAAATACCTTGAGGGTAAAGAGGTTTTCTGGGGATGGATTTGGAGGGTTGCATAAAATGAGCATAGTTCGGGGTGAGTGGGCGAATGTTTATGAGGATTGTGAGTATTTGAAGTATGGGGGGTTTTTAGGAATTTTAGACACAAATGCATGCGTTGCGGTCTTGGCATAATGGCTGGGAAGGATTGGAGTTATTAATGTGATTTTAATGTGTTTAAAATATAGTTTTGCTTGGGGGCAAGCAAAAGTCAAGTGTGGGGTATTTTGATATGTGCATAATTAGTTAATTATTCTTAGTTATTTTTGGTTAATTATGAAAATAATGTGGACAAAAGGTACTTAAAATGCTTTGAATTGTGTTTTCAGTCCAAAAGATATGCTTGGAGGCAAAGAGGAGAAATGGGAAAGCAAGTGAAGATTAAAGAGTGAAAAGAAGGACCTACTCGGCGAGTAGATCGACCCTACTCGGCGAGTACACGATGATATGCCAGAAGATAAATACGACTGCTAATCTAAAGACGGATAAGTATTGACCTACTCGGTGAGTTGATTCTGCTACTCGCCGAGTACCCTCTGTTTTGGGATATCTTTAAAAGACGAATCCTTATCTCATGGGACATAACTCCTGGAGAATTTTGAAGGATTAGCTGCGACTAAAAGGTTCAGAAGGCGCTGAGGAACCCTAAGCTTCAAGAGTTGGAAGAATTCAAGCAATTAGGTTAATTCTACCACTTAGACTTAGGAATTAAACATGTTTGCTTTCATAAACTTTGTTTTTATGCTTGTTTCTACTGCAACTATGAGCTAAACTCGTTTTTGTTTCTGTTTGGGGAATACCAAAGAACTCCTATGGTTTAATTATTGAATTTTGTTTAATTGTCTATTGGTGATTTATTAAATTAAGTTTGTTAAAGAACCTTATGTATTAATCACTACTATTTTCTATTAATTGGAAGGCAATTAGGTTGCATGGACATCACTTAATTGTTAACCTCATATGTCTATGTGAATGCTAAAACATATGCTTGGAAGTAATGAGTATGAAACTAAGATTAATAAGAAAATAGGAAGATTAATGTGTGAGCTTGTTTGAGAAACCATCAACAAGAGGTTAATTGAATTAATAACTTAATTGACCATTACAAATCTTATTTAATCCAAATAATTAATCTAGGGAATTAATTAGTTTAAACACTTGATCAACGCTTAAATTAGTTAATTGTCTAAGGGTTAGGAGTAATGAACATGAACCTAACTACTATCATTGGTAACCAATAGCAATTAATCTACCTTAACTTAAATAACCATAGGAGTGAATTGGTTGAACCTAAATAGAAACATCTTTATCAAATTTGGTGAATAGTTGTTGCTTTAGTTAATTAGTTAATTTAGTTTGTTTAAGTTTCTAGTCTTGCAAAACTAGAGAAAAACCCTTTACTTCTATTATTTGTTTTAGTTAAAATTAGCTATTAGTTTAATTTCCCATTCCCTGAGTTCGATACCTTACTTATCAATCTATACCACTTAAAGACAGGTTCACTGCCTTTGTGTGCTTAAATTATTAATAAAAAGTAGGGATAAAACTAGTTGAATTTACACACATCAATTAGCATGTTAGGGTGTTAAGGGTAGTAAGGGTATTTTTGTACATATTTTGTGAATGCTACTTTTGTACATCTTTTGTGAATGCCCTTAAATTACTGATATCCATATTTTGTACATCTTTTGTAAACACATTGAAACATTATGAATGACCTTAACATGGTTGGTAATGACATATTGGAGTTTGTTGTTTAATTATTATAGCCGACAAGTGTGCATATTTCATGGTTATATTTTTCAAGTGTACACCATATATGCAAATCATAATAACATATTCCAATTTCATTAACCAAAACATTACATGATCCATAAGAACATATATCCATTACATTATGATAATAAACCAAAAGATTACATCATCCCTACCATACCATAATACCCTACAACTTACACTAAACTAACCATACATCATCCCTACAATGAAATAATAGAAGCAAACCATCATCCACTTCCAAACTCCAAGTTCATTAGCAGACACATGTGCATTCTCAAGCATTGCAATTTGATTATCAGGTTCAAGGGCATTCACAGGGGCAATAGGGCCATCAACATTTATAGGGGCAATAGGGCCATCGACATTTACAGGGGCAATAGGGTCATCAACAACTTTTTCAACTTCATTAACATGGTTATTAAAAGGAACAACTACACCTCCATTAGCAACAACTCCTAATTCATACATTCTTTATTTATACCACTTATTCAATAGTGGTGGGTCAATCCAACGAAAATACCCATAGTCCTTCTCTTCATCCTACATAACATAGAAAGACACATGTTTTTAACATAAAAGAGTTTTAGTGGAATAGAAGAATCTGAGTGACATTTGAAGATTCTATACCATGTAATTTGGACAACCAAAAAACCTCCCACCTGGATTCTTTCGAGTCCATGATGTCCACATTCCAGCCCTACCTCCACACTAGCACATTCTGATGTTGTTTCTTGACGAAATCGACATCAATTTCTAGTTTCCATTTTGCCCTAATCGCCCGCTCCTTTGCGTGTCGAATGAACAAGAAAAGCCCGATTCATAGATTTATCCCTCTTAAATGGCACGTAGGATGTTATTTAACATGATGACTTCCATGTAAGTTGTCACATCAGTTAGATACCGACTAACCCAATAAATATATCGTTTTGATTACGTTTACCATTAATTAGGACTAAATTGCAAAAAAATATATATATAGGGACTAAATCGATTATACAGACAATACATATGGCCTTTATTGGAGTTTTCCCTTTCAATTTCTCACATAAAATATACTTAAATCATTCATTTCTCATGCATATTGATTTAAACCATATTAATATTTTTTTCTTCCACTAATTAACAATCATTAGTTTGATTTTAGTACATTAAACTCATTTATTGATTTGAAATTTATACAACTCATCACCTCCAACTAATTAACTATTTTTAATTTGATTTATAGTAGTTAAACTCATTTGTAATTTTAATTTTAACGATAACTCTTCAATTTCAACATAAAATGATTTCTTACATGTATTTACTTGAAACTTACACAATTTCTCAATATCCAACTAGTTAATCATCATTAAATTGATTCTAATACATTAAACTCATTTATAATTTTAAATTTAATGCTAAGTATTCAACTTTCAACATAAAATATACTTAAAACTTATTATTTTATATCAACTAAAAATAAAAAGTTTCAAATACTATTTTTAAATATTTACAAAAAAATTAATATATGGTTAAATGTAAAACTTAAATCGAAATGTCAAATTATTGAAAAGGTTAACCAAAAACTAATTTTTTCAATAATGAAGGTTTTTCAAACATAGTTTTTGAGTTAATTAATGATAACATTAACTTTTAAAAAATTAAAATCTATATTATGTTATTTTGAAAACAGTATTGATATCTAAAACGATAATCATGATCAAAATTAGAAAAAAAACATCTTAAATGGTCTCTATGACTTTCTAAAATCTGAAGTTTAGTCCCCATGGTTTAAAAAACTCATAGATGGTCCCTGTGCTTTCAAAACTTTTCACAGTTGGTGCTTATTGCTAACTCCGTTAGTTTTATCCGTTAACTGAAGGACATTTTCGTCTTTTCACTACCACAAGGACCATTTATGATGTTTTTTCTTATTTTATTTTTTATATTAAAAATAATTATTTAATATGTAAAAGGTCCTCTCTCTCTCTCTCCCCCCCCCTCTCCCCCCCCCCCCCTTAAATCCCTAGCCTCCTCAAAGCCTGCCACCTTCTCCTTCATCAAAACCTCCATCGCCGATGCAAGAAACTGCAGTCAGGGGGCTTAAAAACTGTCGTAAACTAATCACCATAGAGGCTAAGCTTTTTAATCTCAAGATTAAGTCCTTATAAACTGAAAACAAGCGATTAGAGGCACAAATGGCGGATTATACGAAGGCTTTAGCGGATCTTGAAGCTGCAAAAAGTTAAAATTAAAGTTCTGAAGAGGAAAGTTTGAGTGGAAACCGCGCAAAATAAGGAACGGATCTTGGATTTGCAACATGGAGTTGAAAAAATTTTCGGAGGGTGAACACGAAGGTGTTGTTGGAATTGATCCAGCGGTTCAATCAAAGCTCTGTAAATTGAAGGATCTGGAAGATGAAACAGAGGAATTGAGGAATTCAAATTCTAGTTTGCACATTGAAAGTCTTGAAGGTGGTTTATATCCATGAACGATTTCAGGAAGCAAGTTTGCATCAATCGACAATGGCTTTGGCATCCACCAATCAATAAAGCGAGGTCCCAAACCATCTAATAATCTATCGGCTTCCCTTTCGTAAAGTGACCCTTGTATAGACATCGTCTCCTCTTTTCGACCATGGAAACTAGATCGCATCTCTCTATAATTGAATCCTTTGTAGATAACAAGAGTATATTTTTTACTCCATATCACTAAGCCTCCCGTTTTAATCTGCCATGAAGAAAAGTTGTAGATTTGATTTATATCTTGCTAGAGAATTACAAGATGTGATTATGAAACATTACGAACCTCGACGATTTCGCGTGCTCTATCCATGTTTCGACACAAGGGCATATCGAATTTGAGCATAGTGAGTTCATCAGTTTTCCAAATCAACCTAATTTGTCCATTTAATTTTGGGTTTGGGTTTTGAAAAAGAAATTGTTTTAAAGATGAAAATGTTAAAGAGCATTTTTTGGGAGAGAGAGAGAGAGAGAGAGAGAGAGAGAGAGAGAGAGAGAGAGAGAGAGAGAGAGAGAGAGAGAGAGAGAGAGAGAGAGAGAGGACCTTTTACATATTAAATAATTATTTTTAATATAAAAAATAAAATAAGAGAAAACATCATAAATGATCCTTGTGGTAATGAAAAGACGAAAATGCCCTTCAGTTAACGGAAAAAACTAACGGAGTTAGCAATAAGGACCAACTGTTAAAAGTTTTGAAAGCACAGGGACCATCTATAAGGTTTTTAAACCACGGAGACTAAACTTCAGATTTTGAAAAACCACAAGGACCATTTATGATGTTTTTTCTTAAAAAAAATAGTATAATTATTATTTTATAATGACAAAATTTTTATTATTAGATTCCGCTCATAATAACATGTGAACACCACTTAAAAAAATTCTCTCTTAATCACATATCTTAAATTTGACATTTATCTTGAAACATGAGTAGATCACGAACTTCATACTTGCTATAAAAGTCTCAAAGATCACGAAATACACTAAATTGTGGAAACTTCGTAATGAACACATTTTAGGTCAACTTTTTCAAGTTATTGCTAATAGCTTTACCAATTTTAGCATGCATAAATTCGTAAGTGACCAGATAAATTTGTACGCAATCTGCAACATTATTGTAGAAATTGGTAAGAAGTCATGAATACATTGAAAATATATATAATATTATTGTATAAATAAGTCAATATTCCATTTTGTAAAATGATAAAAGAGTTACATTTTCATGTTATTTAGCATTGAGTTTGTATTTTGAATGCATGTACGAGTTTCTTATCTCCTAAAACGTGCCAAGTGCACCTTTTTGATAAAAATATCTATAATCAGTGAAAAAACCAACCATAGTGAATCTTCAAGATTACACAAATAAAAAAAGATAACCAAAATTACTTTTTGATGGATTTTTAAATGCCTTTTATGTTTCTTTTTACAAATTTTCTCATCAAATTAACCATCAAAACACTGGTTTTGTCCGTTGACATTTTACATCCTCAATAAATAAGTACGATCGTACAATCTTAAAAGAATCTTAAAACTATAATCAAATATCATGCTATGGTTGAATAGTGGTTTATCATTTCTAAAGATAACATTCATAACGATAAACTAATGGAACTAATAATACTATATCATCTAGAATCGTATTATTTTCAAGAAAAGTAGATTCTGTCATACACAATTCTTTAATCGACGGTTCCTTTTTTACATTTTTAGGAGGGTGGGGTTGAGGTTGGGGTTTGCATCTAATACCATCCTAACACTACCCAGCCACATATATAAATAGTAATAAAAGGATGCATGGGTCATATGACTTATATCTAGTGGAGATGGTTTCTTTGTTATTATTAGAAAGAATCATAAAAAATGGAATGGAGAAAAGAACTAAATGAAGATAAAATAATTAATCATTACATATTGTTATCACTTATCATGCGTGGTTGCTTGAAAATAAGAGAATTATTTATTAAGACGGTTTTTATGTATCTGAATTAAATTAAGCTGATAAATAGAAACAACCATTCTCATTTTAGAAAAAGAAGCTTCAAGTAAATTGAGATATACGACTACATAAACTACATATAAATGCACTTCTCTTCTTTTAAATATATGGTAGCGGCAGTATTTTCCGGCGATGAAGACATGAAGTGATGCAAAAAATCCCAGACCAGAAACTAATACTTTGAGAAGATCACCATATCAACATTTTCTGACAATGAGGAGTTATTTCGATTGCGAAACCCAGTGAGGGTGTCAATGTAAAAGAAAAGGTTGTTGAAAGGTTAAGGGTTTGCTGAAGGCGATAATAAGGATAAGAGAAAATGTCATTTTAACCCAATGAATTTATCACATTTCTTTTAAAAGGTCACTCAATTATTATTTTATACAGTGATCTAGAACAAAAAATTGTGTGGTTCCTAAATTAAGTGATGCCAATAAAAAAATCAACAACATTTTTGGGGTCGGATCGGATCGGGTCGGCTCATGTACCTTAAAAGAACGAAACCAGTTCAATCGGCTCATGTACCTTGTACCACCGATTAAATTTTTTAAAAAACCGATTAAAAAATAATCGAACAAAGCACACGGTTTAACGAAAAAACTAGTTGATTATTAGTCCATTGGTAAAACGGCGAACGGAGAGTGAGAGTCTTCGGCATGCGGGCATTCATTTTATTAGAATAACTTATTTATTTATTAATATTTTGAGAATATCGATTAAAAGTGGTTAACTTTTTGTTATCAATCTCATAATTTAAAATAACAAATTCCCCATAATAACTTATATTTTTCTCTTTTTAAAATAGGGTTTTAACAATTTTTTTAAAAAAAACAAACTCAAGATAGGTCTTCTATTTTTTCTAAGATAGTTCCTAATTTTTCTACTATATACATTGCAAATGAAATTGAAAACTTAGGTAGGTCCTAGGATCTACCTAAGCGTATGGTGGATACATCCCTGATTTTACTTATATTAAGGGAATGAAGTCACATTTGACCGTTTTAAAATGTCCTTATGTTACCTGATATCAGGTTAATAGGTAATATGGGTGCCACAAAACAAATGATGATGCCATGTCATTAAATGAATTGACCACGTGTATTACCTTTAATTTGAAATGTTTTAAATAAGTTGATTTCGTTCTTCACCCTTCTCGTCCTCATTCAAGAAAAACATTTGCTCCCATCACAGTTCCTGTCAATGGTAATATTCGTCGCAATCAAAGTTCATTTCCAAGGTGTCTTCGTCAACAAATCTTTTTGATACTTTGATGGTATTCATCATGTGTTCGATAATATTGATTTTATTGGTATGTCTCATAAGGAATTTGTTGGTTTTCTTGAACGATTCACACAAGAGAACTGTGAGAAGCTTTATTATTGTCAGCCGGATTTATAAATCTTATAAGGTTTAACATTGATTTCTAATGAACTTGAATATCAAGAGTTTATAGATATTGCTTATCGGTGTAGAGTTCAATTGTCTGTGTATATGGACCATTTTGGTACTAAACGGTAAGTATTCTCTGATGGAGTAAGGAAAATGAAATTGAAGACAATTGTTTTGTTATGTCAAATATGTCAATGGAAATGGAAGATGGTGTTGACCTAATTGAGTTCATGAGTCCACATAAGAGCAACATGGAAGGAGTAACATATAAAGGAATAAGTTAGGCAAATGGAAATGAGGATGCCAGAAAAGGTGAAACCCCACAAGATGATGAAGATGGAAATGTCCTAGATGTGAAAGCTAAAGCAAAATTCAATGAAGAAAGTTCTTTTTCTATAAAAGATTTGCTAAGATATTCAGATCCTCGGTTTGAGTCTGGAATCACACAAATGTTCATCCAATTCTCTCAAACAATGGCTTTGATACCAACTTGTAACATCCACATTTTCAACCCACATTTTCATTTTTATTTATTCAAATATATCAGAGTATAGTTACATTATGCGGAAACATGTGCGAATGCACCCGTGTACAATCAAACATTGTCCTTCTCACGAATCAATAAAGTACCAAAAAAACATTTATAATCAACTGGGTAAGCATGAAACTTAGTGAGTTCCCTAAAATACCATATACCACAATACATATATCGGTCCCTGCCCAATAATCATATAAACATGCCCTGACTATACTACACAATGGGCCCCACCCATACTACATAATGGGGTCTATCTGTAATGCACGTAGATCCGGACTATTCAATTTAGAGACGATAAATATCAAAAATGACTTTTTGATGGAAGATTATTTATAAGTGGTACTCTTAAATAAGTTGTAGTATATGTTACAAGGATTCCGTACATATAAAGAACGCCGAAATTGAGTTATAACGAAGAAGTTATGACCTGTCGAAGTTTCGCGATAGAATCGGCACGACACAGCGCGACGTAAATAGTGAATTTACGTTAGAGCGATATTTGGACTTAGCGATCTAAATGAAAGTCGTAGAATACGATAAACCGAGAGTGTGCATAAAAAGAATGTCTAAATCTGACTTCGTATGATGAAATTATGATTTTTCGAAGTTTCAGCATTAGCAGTATGCAGCCTGAAACTCGAGATTGAGGTCGAAGGATATTTAGCCAAAACTTTCTAAATGAGAAT